GGTAAAAAGTCGAGGGGAAAAAACAAGCACTTGCAGCACTCAACAGATTATTAGGAGTTAGTTCCCCTCACATTTGTGAGGTAGACTCGACCAGTGTTAGTTAGCTTACATAATTAGGGCTTATGATTGCTTATAACTGTGGCCCCAAAGAGGTCAACAGGGTATATGTGGCAATGAAACAGTTTTGACTGCTATGCACATGTTCCCTTCAACTCTATTGGTAGACTCTTCCAGCCTCACTTTAAGCTTACTTAATCCAAGCTTGCGACTGCTTATGGAGTGGCCGGAGAGGGGGTGAGCAGGCTATTTCTGTGGCCGTGAAACCGTTTTGAATGTTAGGCATACTGTTCATTGTTGATTATGAACGTATTTTTACATTTAATTTATGAGGTTTACGTTTATGGGTGAATTTGACACCCATCGACAGTTAGAAAAACAAACGAAGAAGTCTTGGTTGAAGAAAATTGCAGAAGACAGCGTACGACGAATATACGAAAGGGACAGACAAATTTGCTCGGACACACAAGGCGGAAAGAAGTTGCGGAGAATATTGTAACAACAGGCAAGTTTGATGGAAAGAGAGGCAGAGGCAGACAGAGGGAAAAGATACTGTATAAGATGACAACATGGCTAGGAGCAGCAAGAACAACAGACACCTGTGCTGCAACGCAAGACAGAGTGAAGTGGAGGTTCATGATCGCCAACGCCAGTCGGCCAGTCGGCCAGTCGGCCAGTCGGCAAGGCACCGGATGATGATGATATTTACAAAAGTTGGAGTTTCACAGACTTTTCCAAAAGAACTACTGTCCAAGAAGCGAAACAAAACATTTTTTATTCGCGCTTATAAGTAATGGCATCTATGGACACCTTTTCAAGATAGAGAACGGGGGCTCTCGTGGCCTAGAGGAGTGTTCGCCTCTCATGCAATAGGTCCCGGGTTCGAATCCGGATAACGGCGGAAATGTTTCTTCTCTAAAAAAATAAGTTGTCTGTTTTCCCCACAGAATTCTACACTTAGAATTCTGTGGTTCCCCCCCCCCCTTCCTGCTCTCTAACGATGTTTGTCGTCGGTTTTCGTCTTTACTTTCTGCCCCCACCCTTCACCTCCTTTGCCCCATCCTCTGGGCTCCTGACTCTTTCTGCTGCATTTCTATTGCTACTCCTTGGCTCCTTCTTACCGCTGTCTTTCAACCACACCTCTGACCTTATGGAAGGAAAGGTCTACACCTAGCCTTCTCGGACCAGGGTGAAAAATCTCGGAGGTCCCATGTACAAGTTGCGCTATTTAAAGATCCCTCGGTGGTCCAAAATCGATAAGAGTAGTAGGCTTCGGCCGCCACCCGGGCAAAATTCAAAATTTGCTACCAACTGAAAATGTTTAATGTGTCCCACGCGCTCTGAAAATATTATATGACTTTATGCAGTTTATCCCCCCTTTGGGAGTGGCCTAAGACACTTCAGTCAGTGGCACTGCCTTGGTTGGTTTGGGGGGGGGGGGGAGGACGTCAAAGTACACCAATGCAATAAAAGGTTAAAAGCGTCTAAGCCTATACAGAGACCGTCTAGGTCTAAGCAGCTTCGTGCATGACGTCACAGGACACCATGTAACGACACAAGGAAATTATACCTGGAATGTGGGCTTATAGTAGGTCAAGTGTGTTCAGAGTGGATGGCAGAAACAGACGTAATATTTATCTCTTTAGAGATAGAGAGAGAGAGAGAGAGAGAGAGAGAGAGAGAAAGAGAGAGAGAGAGAGAACGAAAAGGGAGAGAGGGGGAGAGAGAATGGAGAGTGAGAGAGAGAGAGAGAGAGAGAGAGA